CGCTCTCTTCCGTGTCCGAGCGATTCTAACAATGACATTAAGTGTTGAATTTCTTCTTGTTAATGGGTTACCAACACATTTCAGAAGAACTACACACTATATATAATAATAAAATCATATCATGACATGAAAGATTATGGTTTAGCAGTATTTTTACTATGTTATTTTAACTTCTTTGTCTTTCAGGGTGCCAAACTTCTGTATAAAATCACATACACTGGCAAGTCAGAATCTTGCACATACTTTTGCCGTCATATTCAAACATGAATATGTTGAATAGAAAATATAGACTATAGAAGCAACAAACAATACACCCAGAGACAGCAATCATATCATTAATGGCAACAGGGATATACAGTATTTTGCTGAAGTTAATTAAAAACAAACAGGAAAATTCATAAATAAACTTATTAAAACTGAAATGCACTTTGTGTTTGTGGTTTTGGGTTTTAATGCTTAGTCAGTAGTCAATATATTGTTGATGTAGATGACACTGTCCATTACAGGTTTAGAAACAACTCTTTACATTCAATGCCTTTAAAGTTTTAGAGAAACCATATGTCTGCTTTATTATGACACTAAACAGTAGCACCTGCACTTCCTGAGAGTCCTTAGGAAAAACAACCTGTGTGGAACCCTGCTGGTGTCTTTTTACCGCTGTGCCGTAGAGACTATATTAACATACTGCATCACAGTGTGGTACTCAGGTTGTACAGTAGCTGACCGGAAGGCTCTACAGAGGGTGGTCAACACAGCGCAGAAAATCACTGGCTGCCCTCCTCCCTCAATTGAGGACATTGCTGCAACCTGCCACCTCAGTAGAGCGACTATCTTAAAAGACAATTCCCACCCCGGTCATTATCTGTTTGACCTCCATCCTTCAGGCAGGCAGTATAGGTTAATTAAAACACACAAAACAATTTCTGAACAGTTTCTTTCCTGTAGCCATACAGCACATGTTAATAAATAGTCCATCTAGTTTATCTTATTTATACCCAACATATTGTTATATGTGCAATATTATGACCTAGCATTCAGGCACTTTATATCCTCTCTTCAATTTTATAATGTTTTTTTTTTTTTTTTTTTTTTTTGATTGGGTGTATGTATGTTCTTTTAAACACCATAGTGATGTGACAAGCACTTGTAATTTCCTTGTATCCTGAATACAATGACAATAAAGGTATCTTATCTTATCTTATCTTAAACAATGACTGTGCACTTATTGCTTGTACATTAGCTGACTTTACCTGGACAAAGCAACCGCTTAAGGTGTTTAGAAATTTCTTTCATTTTTAGCCCATATATGATTGGATTAAAGAGAGGACTGTACAAAATTACTTGTAATGTCATTATTAAACGCACAGTTTGGGAAAAATCTATGTCCAGTCGAGCTAGAATTACATCAAATCCCATGGAACAGGTGAAGTTCATTAGAACCAGCAGGTGAGGTAAACAAGTCTGTGCAGCTTTTCTCCTAACTTCTCTACAACTTTGATAGGATAATATAAGTATCCTGGTGTAGGTAAAAAGTATGAAAAGCACTGGTAAAACATGAAGGTTTACCAAAGCAACAAAGCCATATATATATAATACTCTTGAACTCACACATCGAAGTTTGATCACCCCACTGCTGCAAATTATTCCTTTAAAAGTAAAGTTACAAAGTTTAGCATCAGCACTCAGGCTAACTGGCACTGTAACCAAACAAGCAGACAGAAGCCAAGCTAAAAGCAGGAATATACTGGTGTTTGATTTTCTCATGATAGCTGGATATCGCAAAGGTTTACATATAGACACATACCTGTCATAGGCCATGGCTGCCAACAGGGGCATTTCTGAACCTGTTAGAAAGTAATATGCAAACCACTGAAAGAGACAGGCTGGATAGGATATGATCTGTTTTTCACATAAGACATCAGTCAACAGCTTTGGGTAGAGAGAAGTGCTGAGAAGAACAGAGTTCAATAACAAGGCTGCAATGAAAATGTACAT